TCTCGAACCCGCGGGCTCAGGCAATGCACTCACCTCAGCCTCCCCAAGTGAGGGATTACAGGCTGAGCCACCAAGCCCGGCTAAAAATCACATTTTTTAGCCAGGCACAGTGGTTCATGCCTGCAATCCCAGCACTTTGGCAGGTGGAGGCAAGAGGACTGCCTGAGTCCAGGAGTTCGAGACCAACCTAGACAACTTGGTGAGATCTCGTCTCTACAATAAATCCAAAAACAAATTAGCTGGGTGTGGTGGTGCAGGCCTGTAGTTCCACCTACTTGGAAGGTTGAAGTAGAAGGATTGACTGAGCCCAGCAGGTCAAGGCTGCAGGGGCCATGAGTGGGCCACTGCACTCCAGCTTTGGTGACAGAGTGAGACCCTACTCAAAAAAAAATCTTATTTTCTCAGCTGGGCATGGTCTGACACCTAGAATCCCAGCACTTTCAGAAGCAGAAAAGAAGACCACTTGACACAAAGAGTTTGAGACCAGCATGGACAACATAGCAAGACCCCATTTCTATGTTAATCATTTTTTTTCCTACAGAGTGAAAGGACAAAGCCAAAATGGAGTTACCTCGATCATCTTGGGCAGTCCTGGCAGTGGCTCGTGTACTCAGGTCAGTGCTGAATGCACAGCAATAATCGTCTCTCTTTTTGAGTCGGAGTCTGCCAGGCTGGAATGCAATGGCACACTCATGGCTACCTCAGCCTCAACCCATTGGGCTCCGGCAATCTTTCTGCCTCAGTCTTCTAGTAGCTGGAACACAGGCGTGCACTAACACGCCCAGCTAATTTTTGATTTATTGTAGAGACAAGGTCTCACCAAGTTGTCCAGGCTGGTCTCAAACCCACAGGCTCAGGCAATCCGCTTGCCTCGGCCTCCCAAAGTGCTGGGATTACAGGCTGAGCCACCAAGCCCAGCCAGCAATAATCAATAATTAAAAGAATAGCCATTTTTCTAGGACCCCTAGGGAAGGTTCATTAACATCTTTGCTCCAAGAATTTGTCTTCCAGCTCTCAGCTCAGTCTTTGCCTACATGACTGATCAATCACCCATAAATCTGGCCACCATAAATCCAGCCACCAGAGATATGAGAAATATCACCAAGGCACCAGCTCTCTTGTGATCTCGCCAAAGAAAGTTTGCTGACCTCCTGAAAAAACCTCACAAACCCTAGCCCTAAGCATTCAGGGTAGATGCTTCCTTTAAGCATCTGGCCCCTTCTCTCTCTTCGAAAGTGAATAAATTCTTTTGCTTGCTTGCTTTCTGTGCAAATCTTTGCTTTCCCACAGCATCAACTTGATTCACTGACCTAACATAGAGGAAAACATATAATAAATATATAAATATCATTCTCCATTGTGAAATTTCAATAGTAGTAATATAATAATTTACACTAATTCCTTATACAAAGCCTATTTTATTGACTACACATTGCAATCTACCTAAAAGATTTTCTAAAAATACTAGTTGCCTCAATCTGATAAAGGGCATCTACAAAAACCATAACTAATATGCTAATATCGTTTTTTGTTGTTTCTGAGTTGGACTCTCACTCTGTCGCCCAGACTGGAGTGCAGTGGCCGCTCCTGGCCATCACAACCTCAACCTGCTGGGGCTCCGGCAATCCTTCCGCCTCAGCCTTCCAAGTAGCTGGAACTACAGGCACGTGCTACCACGCCCAGCTAATTTTTGATTTATTGTAGAGATGAGGTCTCGTCAAGTTGCCCAGGCGGATCTTGAACCCGCGGGCTCAGGCAATCCACTCACCTCAGACTCCCAAAGGCGCGGGATTACAGGCTGAGCCACCGAGCCCGGCTGCTAATATCTTATTTAAAGGTAAAAGATCAAATGCTTTATCCTTAAGACAAGGAGCAAAACAAGAATGCTTTTCTGGTTTGTTTTTTTTTTTTAGTTAGAATCTCACTCCTTCATCCAGGCTGGAGTGCATTGGCATGCACGCTTACAGCCATCCCAGTGTCGACCTGCTGGGCTCCAGCAATCCTTTCACCTCAGTCTTCTGAGTAGCTGGAACTATAGATGCGCACTACCACACTCAGCTATTTTTTATTCTATTGTACAGACGAGGTCTCACCCACGGACTGGTCTCGAACCCGTGGGCTCAGGCAATCCACTCACCTTGGCCTCCGAAAGTGTTGGGATTACAGACTGAGCCACCGAGCCTGGCCAAGAATGCTTTCATCACTAAACATTACACTTATGGCTCTAAGCAAGTCAATCAGGCAAGAAAAAATGAAAGACATTTGACATGGAAAGGAAGAAGTAAAACTTTAATGATTTGCAGATGACATGATCTTGTATTCTAAAAAAAAATAGAATAAGAAATTGACTAAAAAACTGTTATAACAAGCTGGGCATGGTGGTTCACACCTGTAATCCCAGCACTTTGGGAGGCAGGGGTCAAGAGAATTGCTTGACCCCAGGGGTTTGAGACCAACCTGGGCAACTTGGCGAGCCTTCATCTCTACAATAATTCAGAAAAATAGCCAGGCTTGGTAGTGTCCTGTGGCTGTGGTTCCAGCTACTTGGAAGGTTGTAGCAAAAGGATCACCTGAACCCTGCTGCTTGAGGTTGTGGTATCCATGAGTGTGCCAATGCACTCCAGCTTGGGCAGCAGAGTTAAGACTCTGACTCAAAAAAACCCCCAAAAAACTATTATAACTATTGAATAGTTCATCAAGTTTCACGCTGCCTTTTAACCGCAGGACACGGGTCAATATACAAAAACCAAATGCATTGCTATACACTAGCAATAAACCAAATCTGAAATCCTAAAAATTATATTTCTAATAGCATCAAAGAAGCTGTCCTTAAAAATAAATTTAAGAGCCGGGTTCAGTGGCTCAGCCTGTAATCCCGCACTTTGGGAGGCTGAAGTGAGTGGATTGCCTGAGCCCACGGGTTCGAGACCCACCTGGGCAGCTTGGCGAGACCTCATCTCTAAAATAAATCAAAAAAAAATTAGCCGGGTGTGGTAGTGCACGCCTGTAGTTCCAGCTACTTGGAAGGCTGACGCAGAAGGCTCGCCGGAGGCCAGCAGGTCGAGGCTGCGGTGGCCGGGAGCAGCCACTGCACTCCAGTCTGGGCAACAGAGTGAGACTCCAACTCAAAAAAAAAAATAAAAAATTAGCTGGGCGTGGTAGTGCATGCCTGTAGTTCCAGCTACATGGAAGGCTGAGGCGGAAGGATCGCCGGAGCCCAGCAGGTCGAGGCTGCGGTGGCCAGGAGCGGCCACTGCACTCCAGTCTGGGCGACAGAGTGAGACTCCAACTCAAAAAAAAAAAATACTGCTGAAAGAAATTAAAGACCTAAATAAATGCAAATATCTCCCATGCTCATGAATTGGAAGACTTGATATTGCTATACTCTCCAAATTGCTCTACAGACACCCAGTTGGAATTTTTTGTAGAAATAGACAAGTTGATCTTAAAATTCTCATGAAAATGCAATGGTCCCAGAATAGATAAAACGATCTTGGTGGAAAAATAAAAAAGATTTTCAAACATCTCAATTTCAAAACTTACTACAAAGCAACATTATCAAGTCAGTGTGGCTCTTACACAAGGATAGATTATAGATCAATGAAACAGAACTGTGACTCTAGAAAACACGCACATGTTTATTGGCAACTGACTTTCTTTTTTTTTTTGAGTCGGAGTCTCATTCCGTCACCCAGGCTGGAGTGCAGTGGCACGCTTATGGCCACCGCAGTCTTGACCTACTGGGCTCAGGCAATCCTTCTGCCTCAGCCTTCCATGTAGCTGGAACTACAGGTACACGCCACCACACCCGGCTTACTTTTTGATTTATTGTAGAGATGAGGTCTCGTCAAGTTGCCCAGGCAGGTCTCGAACCCGTGAGCTCAGACAATCCTCTCACCTCGGCCTCCCAAAGTGTTGGGATCATGGATGTGAGCCACCACGCCAGGCCCACAACTGATTTTCAGTAAGGGTGCCAAGATAAGTCCATGAAAAAAGAATAGTCTTTTCAACAGATGGTACTGGGAAAAATGAATACCAACAAACAAAAGAATGAAATTGGATCCCTGTTTCACATACGCATAAAATGGCATGAGATGGATCAAAGACCTAAATGGAAGAATAAAACCTATAAAACTCCTTAAGAGAAAACACAGGAATAAATCTTTGTAACCTTGGACAGGAAATGGATTGTTAAATATGTCATCAAAAACAAAAGCAGGAGCCGGGCTCGGTGGCTCAGGCTGTAATCCCGCGCCTTTGGGAGGCTGAGGTGAGTGGATTGCCTGAGCCCATGGGTTCAAGACCTGCCTGGCCAGCGAGACCTCATCTCTACAATAAATCAAAACATCAGCCGGGCGTGGTAGCGCTCGCCTGTAATTCCGGCTACTCAGAAGGCTGAGGCGGAAGGATCGCCGGAGCCCAGCAGGTCGAGGCTGCGGTGGCCGGGAGCAGCCACTGCACTCCAGTCTGGACGACAGAGTGAGACTCCAACTCAAAAAAAAAAAACAAAACAAAAAAAACAAAAGCAGGGACTAGGTGCAGTGGCTAACACCCATAATCCCAGCATTTTGGGAGGCAGAGACAGGAGGATCACTTGAGTCCAGGAGTTTGAGACCAGCTAGGGCAACACAGCGAAATCTCATCTCTACGAAAATAATTAATAAATAAATAAAAATTAGCCAGGCGTGGTGGCAAAGCCTGTAGTCCTAGTTACTCAGAAGGCCGAGGCTAAAGGATTGCCAAAGCCCAGGAGGTTGA